TCTCTGAACAGTACAATGTTTTTTTGTTGTTCCTCCTTCTGAAAGTAAACCTAATATAGTAAAGACTCGATTATGTTACAATATGTTATAAATGAATACCCAGGCAAATACAGAAGCCAAAACATAATACAAAATCCATTCTACTTAGAGAATAGCTATCATTGTTCCAAACCTTTTTTAAAAAAAAGACTGGTATTGTAATTTTATTTTAAATCATATTACCAATGTCCCAATTAACACACCAGAACTGCTAATCATCCTATCTTAGCTGCAAAAATAATTGTTAACTTTTTGAAAAATTATATAACAAACTTTCCCCAAAACCTTTAGAGTTGGTTCAATGTTACTATGATCATACTGATTAATATCCTCATCACTCAGGATTTCAGTCTTGTACAACTGAAGGCTTCTGCAACGGGCTATAAGTTTTTCCAATTCAGAACATTACCACCTCTTCATCCTCACTATCCATGACCTTCAAAAGGGAAATAGCAAGGTCACCTAAAAGTTTATTACTGATTTAATTTTAGCAAGAAAATATACAAAAAATGGAATTTCACACACCAGAAAATAAAAATACTTTCCTTAATCTGAATCTGAAGGAAGATACCTAAAAATATTCAGTATCTGCTAATATGGTTACTCAACAGCAAAATTAGAATTTTTAAAGAGTATTTGTCACTAGTTTTAAGTACCGGAATGCACAGGATAAACGAAGGGCTATTATATGTAAGAATGAAACAAAGCCTTATGCATTTTAACCTAGTCTTAAAAATTGTTTAATGCTATACTATACTAATGCTACTAGATTTCTTGTAGAGTGTATTTATTTCAAAATTTAAAGAGTATATAAACACGTGCACTTGAAATAACTAATTTACTGGCTAAAATACAGCAAATGATCAGTCTTAGTATGGATACATAAACTTTCTTCTAATTTTGTTTATTTTTTCTACTTTCTGTGCTTCAATTTATCATAATTCTAGCATTTAACTTTCTCTTAAGTACAGGCAATAAAAAATTTATTTCACCTCCATCCACAAATAACTTCTTCCCAATCACCTCCAAATATTTCATTGCAAAAAGAAGTTGTCATAAACACCAGATTATAAGAACTGTAAGCTAAATATCAACTATAAAGCTCATCTCACGAATCCATAAAATATCAATTATAAATGAAGCACATCTAAAGAGGTTAAGCGACTTGCTCAAGATCACTTACTGCACAGTACAAAGCTGGAACATAAAACTTTCTGACTAAAATCCAGTGCTTTATCCATTCTATTATTTTGCCTTTCAATGGGAACAGAGGTTTCAACTAATTGAAATCTATCTATTTCTCGATCTTTTAAACTATGACATACTTTACTATCACTTTAATTAATGGAATCCAATGTAGATTCAACAGCTAATTACTAAGATTTTATAGGGGGAAAAGCTGGGATATGAAAAAAGAACGAAAGTGAACAAGTAGTACAGAATAAATCTTCTTTTTAAATTGTCAAAATGTCATTTGGAAAATAGAAAAAAATCAAAAGTCAAAAGATAGTAGACCAGGGTTTGGGCTCAAAACCTCTCGAAATATCTTAAAGGATTAAATTAAGTAGAAAAAATTAAGTCTTAAAACGAATTTTAAGACTGAAAATTTGTATGCCATGCATCCATTTGACAAATCTCCACTAATAATGCAACTTTCCCTTACACTGCAAGGTCCTTGAAGATGAGGGCCATGTCTCATTTTTCTTTCTACCCCCTAGTTCAGCATAGTACCAGGTCCAGCTACTGATCAAACAAGTTTGTCAAGCTAAAATGCTTTAGCATTCCTTTGATTTCCAGATTATGAAGCAAGGCAAAAATGTGTTTAAAAAAAAAACTCTATTATGATGAAAATTTATTTAACAACCTGATCAAAAACACAGTCAAGGTATAATTTTGGGGCTGAAAGAATAATACCATTGTCACTACTATTTTTATGATATTGGATTGGGGGGGCACTAAGAATTCAGACTTATTTCTTCCTCCTCACAAGAAACACTGTGCAGAAAAAATGAAGATATTTAATTATGTCATCTTCATCCAATTACCACAGTAACATTTATATAGAATTAAAGCGTCACTAGTACTTTGCTGCCAAGAGTTACGGTAAAAATAAATCACGACGGCAGGTAAAACCACTGTAACAGATAAAAATTATTTTTTTTCCTTCAAAAATTAAACAGCACGCCGGACCTGGTGGCTCACGCCTATAATCCCAGCCTTTTGGGAGGCCGAGGTGGGTGGATCACCTGAGGTCAAAAGTTTGAGACTAACCTGTCCAATATGGTGAAACCTCATCTCTACTAATATTACAAAAATTAGCCGGGCTTGGTGGCAGGCACCTGTAATGCCAGCTACTCAGGAGGCTGACGCAAGAAAATGGCTTGTACCCCGGGGGCAGAGGCTGCAGTGAGCCGAGATCCCACCATTGCACTCCAGCCTGAGAGAGGGAGCAAGACTCCCATCTCAAAAAAAAAAAAAAAAAGAGAAAAATTAAACAGCAGGCACTATTTTAGATATAATTATCTTGAGATATAGGTATATTTAACTTTCAAGTGGTAGGTCAGAATAAAAGGAAATTTTAAAGATATTTTAAGTATTACCCTCTCTATGTGCAGTAAAATGAAAAAATTTATGTTTTGCATAATTTACATGAAAAACATCACTACAAACCGCTCACTGCTCTACCATCCCAACATTACTGAAAACGGCAACTTGTACTATTTACTATGTAACAGGCACTGTATCTAGTGCTTCGCATGCTGTATTTAATTCTCAATAACTCACGTTGTAGAGACTACCCTCTATAGTTAAGGAAACTAAAGCATGAGTAGGTTAAGGAGTTTGCTCAAGGAATTCATATCTAAATGAGTCCAATGATATACAGCTATCTTTTCAAATTTATGAGATTAAACAAATGTAGAACTATAAAATTTTTGTAAAATGAAATGCATCTACCGCAATTAGAATTCTAATTGCAGCTGAATCTGTAAGTACAATTTTTGCTGTCGACGGACTTGCAGTTTTTACAATAAATTCTCTTTAATTATGTTTACTTAATTGACATTCAAAAATCTGAAAGCAAATCTAATACCACAATATGATTACCTCTGAATTTTACTCCTCTTTCTGAGAGACTTGTAAGGCAAGCATGCCAAGACACAGACTTACCTCTTAATTTTGGACCAGTTCTGTTTCAAGTTTTAACCTATTAGCTCTGGTGTAAGCCAAACCTTGGCACTAACTCTACTGGAGAAAAGGGAACACTTAAAACTGACTCCCCCTCACTCCAATTTTCTCTGTTTTTACCAGTTTGTTTTCACTTAAAAGTCAAAGGTCACTAACAATGTTTTCAGTATGAATTCAATAGTTAATGTGATATCTAGAATTTACAACCTTGTGTGCTTCAGTATTCTTTACATGTGAGTGTTATTTTAACGAACAATTTAAAACAATGCTCCTGGCCACGTGTTCCCTCTATCACCTCTAGGTAATAAAGGAATTCCTTTCAGATGATACTAATTTTAAGGATGAAGTTCCTACATTTAAAAATACGAAACACAAAGATAAAACATATGCCACTTGGTAAAAACAAACATTGAAGAATACTTATGTAATTTTACATGAAAGACTTAAGACTTAAAATTGTGGCAGTACCGCGTTTTTATCCTGACCATAAGCAATTTCTCCAAAGAAAGAACAGTGCTGTGAAAATTTAGAAGAGTGAAAAAAAGCTACATAAACATACTAGTACAGCTGGCTCTTGGGCTAACTAACGCGAAGAGGGGGGCACATTTTTGACTGCTATGATAACGCTGTGGATTTCCTAATGGGCAAGTGATGTAACACTGGAGAGCCGCCTAAGGGAAAGGAATAGGTTAACAAAGGGGGTGCAGATGCCAGAGAGATAAGCCTGGGGCGGCAGGGAAGAGGTGGGTCACTAGCGAGTGCAGGGGTGTATCCCAGGATGATTTCGGAGAGTGGGGAAGCAGCCCGACAGGATAGGGTACGAGGGTGAAGGGAGGGTAGCGCAGAGGAGGCATGGAAGCTCCCGGGAAAACGGTGTGACATCTGGCGTGCGGAACCGGCAGGGGGCAGAGCAGGCAGGATGTCACGTGGAGCTGGCGCTACGGGAGCCGAGAGGGTTGCGTACGGACAGAGGGGGGTCTTTCCCACCGCCTGAAAGACTGTTACTCACAGGAGTCGTGGACTCTTCTTGCCCTGAACTGGAGACGGGGACTTCGCGGCCTGAGGCTGCTGCCCGGGGACGTCGGGAGGCCTGGCGCTGGGGCTGCTCCTCCGCCGGCGGGGATACTCGGCCTTCCTCCGGCGGGACACAGCGGCAGCGGCGGCGGCGGCGGCCGCAGCGGCCCGGCCTCGGTCCCGACCGCCCCTCAGCACACGGCTGCTAGTGGTCCCTGCAGGCGCCGCCGCGGCCGCCTCAGGGGGCCGTTGTTGGGGCTCCTCCGGAGCCTCCTTGGCCGCCGCCGCCTCTCCCCCTTCCTGGTCCTGCTGCTCCGGGGGTCTCGGCTCTTCCGTCTCCCCCGGCATCGGGGCTTGTCCGTCCCCCACCCCCTAGTCCCAGGCGGCGGAGGGGGAGGCGGCGGCCTCCGCGCTGCTCCCCCCGCCCCCTCGCCTCCCGAAGCCTCCGGCTCACTCTCACCCTGCGCTCCTCTTTCCCCCCTCCCCTCCGCCCGGCTCGGAGGGCGCCCCCCCCGCCCCCTGCCACTCAAGGTCCGCTACCGCTGGCGGCGCGCACGCGCGCCCGCTACTGACGCTCAGAGAGCCAATCGGAGAGGAAGACAGGCTTCTTCACCCCGCCCCTCGCGGTCTTACACGCAGCGACGTTCCAGGTTCCCTCCCCCACCCCTTCCTAGAGCCAATCAGGAAACGGCTACAAGGGAGGGCGCGAGGTTTCCTTCCCCGCGCACCCGTTCTCACCGTTAAACGGCGGTGTCTCGCGACAATCCCAAAGTGACCTTTTTCCCCCCTCCGGAGTTCAATGCGCTCTAGGGGCAGTGCGAGGGATAGATCTCGCGAGGGAGGCGGGTGAGAAGAAATCGCACCTCTCCCCGCCTCATGCACACCCTAGGCTGGCTGCGCGCGCACCTGCCTCCCTAAGGGCTCTTTCTGTCCTTCTTTAGGCCGCAGAAGTAGCCTAGGCGTTATTCCGCCTCCACCCTACCCCAGTTTCGTGTCTCTGGCCTTTCTGTCCCCAGCGCCGCCAGATCTTGCGGGGAGAAGGGGGTAATATTTTGAGCTGTTGCTTCTCCTTTAAGAAAAAAAGCCCCGTCGGTTGCCGGATGAAAGTCTCTGAAAAAAATGGCGGCGGTAGAACGAAGGCGGGGTTGTGGGGGCAACGAGGGCCCGCCTCCTGGCACATGCGCATCGTTAACTTAACCAAGGGCATTGTGGGAGATGAAGTCCTATTTCGCCTAGGCTTTAGGAAAATAGATGGTAAACCAGAGGTGGAGAGAATGCTGGGAGGTTCTGACTGATTCACGCCGGGAAAGGTAGTTTACTTTCCGCAGTCTGAATTTACTTTTTTTTTTTTTTTTTTTTTTTTTTAAGGAGGCAGTGTTTCCGGGTTAGGTCGCGACGGCTGCTGTACATCCGGGCTCAAGTGTTGAGCCAATTGCTAGTCCGATGGGAGGGTTTTTTCTACTTTTTCTTACTTTTTATCTAGACGTTGGCGTAGCTTTCTCCGGGTGGCTGCCTAATTGCCCAGACTTAACGTTGGTTTGGTCACATGACACCTCCTCTGGGACTGGCTAGCTAGCGTTCATGTCTATAGTATTGATCTCGTCCTGTGTATGAGTCACCTGTGAACTCCTGGAGGTCAGGGGCTGAATATAGTTCCCTCGGGTCCTTGGGGCCCTAGCAGAAGGCTCACTACTCAGTTGGCTCTTAATAAAATTTTCGATACGAATTGTAAAGTTGCTTTTCTACTAGACCTTGTTCAGGCACCTAGGAGCTGGCGTCAGTTGCTTAACTTGGCTGCGGTGCCTGACCTGGAGGGAGGCAGAAAGGGTTGTTACGTGACTCTGGTGACCTACACGGATAAGTTGAAGGTCTCTTAAGCTCTGCGGCCGCAAGCCATCTGTTTATACAATAGCAACTTTATCAGAAGTTACTTTTCTGCCCACTAGTGTGTGATTCATCAAAAGGTGTTTCCGTTGCAGTTGGTGATGCAGTGGGCCTCTCCCATTTCTTTCTTCCTTTCATCCATTACAATCAGAGAACGATTCGCAAGAACACCCTTTACCCCTGGAAAATAAAGCATCCGGGGCTAAAATCCCCAGAAGAAAGAAGATGGAAACAAGATCTGGGGATCCAATTCTAAATTTCATATTAATCATTCAGTTAAACTGTGGACAAGTGCTGAAATACATTTTTCCTTCCAGTATTTTGACTCAGATGCCACTTCATATTGGACAAATGTTTTATATTCTCTACTATTTTGCCCTTTCATATGACTAATGTCATTTTCATTTGTAATAATTGTTTGGCATAGTGTCAATGGAAATTTTTTCAGATTGAGTTTGCAGTGAGCAGAGTTTTGGAAGGAACAGTACTGACATCCAATGGATGCCCAAAGTAATACAGAGGAGAAATCCCGTTTAAAAAAATGTACAGACAGTGGAATGGAGAATGAATTATACAAAAA